GAAGGGAGGGCTAGGAATGGGGAAAAAATAAGAACCAAGATGCACCATGTAAAGGTACAAGTTCCCAATAAGAAATGTAATTGTGTTGTATACCTAAAATGTACCAATAAAAGAATTTAAGGAAAAAAAAAAAGAACAGAAGGGGAAAGTGAAAGAAAAAAAAAATCTAGCATACAGTGGTCATGGAAAAATGCCTAAGAATTATATTTTGCTAAGAAAATGTTCAATGAAATTTACATCACTCTCAATGATTTGACTACAAGCATAATTGTTCAAAACAAAAAAAAAAGAAGATACAGAAGACACTAGAAATAACTGAATGAATGAATTTAAAACTTAAGTAAGCTAGGCATGCTGCTGCATTCCAGTAGTTCCAGCTGCTCAGGGAGGCTGAAATGGAAGGATCACCTGGGTCAACAAGTTTAAGACCAACCTGAGCAATACAATAAGAACCTGTCTCAACAGCAAACAACAAAAAGTAAATGAGTCCACAAATCTATACCCTTAGAAACAGATGGACACTGATCAACTAAGATACCTTCCCATTCATGTTTGGGGGAGTGTATGACATCCTCTCATCATAGAATTTCCCTGCTTAGTAGGATTTAAAGGCAAAAAATGAGGTGCTAACCTCTTCTGAGCTTAATTCACCAAATAAAATTAATTTCTGAAAGTATGGTTAAAATAATTACCAAGAACAACCCCCCTGAACTCAGTACTGGGGTTTGAACTGAGGGTCTTCCCACTAAGCTACATCCCCAGTCCTTTTTTATTTTGAAATCGGGTCTCACTAAGTCACTCAGCCTGAATTTTGATGCTCCTGCCTCAGCCTCCTAGAATGCTGAGATTACAGGTCTGTGCCATCACACTGGCTTAACTGCCAAGAATTCAAATAAATTATTAAGTGCCAGGGATTTAGCTCAGTGGTGCCACTGCCTATCTCGAAAGTGCAAGGTCCCGAATTTGATCCCCAGTACTAAAAAAAAACACAAAACATTAAGTAAATTTTGGTTTCCATTGTGAATTAAGCAAAGAATAGACTACTAAATCCATGTCATCAGAATTTTTAAAAAGTAACAGCTTTACTGTGATACAGTATAATCCACATCCCATAAAATAAACTTTTGTGTACTAGTCAGTGATTTTTAGTATAGGCATAAGGTTGTGTAACAATCACCACTGAGTCCAGAATACTTCCATCAACCCAAAAAACTATAAATTTATTTACTCATACCCATTAGCAGTCACTCTCCATTTTCTTGTCACCCAATTAATTTCTTGGCAACCACTGATCTATGTACTATATTCTGCCACTACTGATTTGCCTAATCCAGAAATTTCATATAAATAGGATCATAAAATATGGCCTACTGTGACTAGAATCTACTACTCAACAAAATGTCCATCTATGTAGTAGCATGAATCAGTATTTTATTTCTTTTACTGCAATTTTCCACTGTATAGCTCTATCCCATTTTATTTATTCATTATCAGCTGTAAGATATTAGGGTTATTTCTATTTTGTGACTATTATGAACAATAATACTGTGAACATTTGTGCACCTTTTTTTTTTGGTACCAGGATGGAATTCAGGACCTTGCGCTTGCAAGGCAGGCAGCTGAACCACTGAGCTAAATCCCCAGCCCTTGTGCACTTTTTTAAAAAAGAATATATGTAGCATTTTGGGGGGACTATGCTTGAAAGAGTGGAACTGCTGTATCATACAGTATCTCAGTACTTCACAGTTTGACAAGAGCCAAGCTGGTTCATAAAGTGGCTGCACTATTTTACACTCCCACCAGCAATACATGAGGGTTACAATTTTTCCACACCTCATAAACACTTGTTATTATCTGTCTTTTTTTATTTTAATGCCCATCAGGTGTGATATAGGTTTAGTTTACATTTCTCAAATGTAACATTTTTCAAGTGAGTACTGGTCACTTTTGTATCTTTTTTGAAGATATATCAATTCAAATCTTTTGCTTATTGTCAGAATTTTGAGACAAATTATTCTGTACACACATGTGACATCATCATTTTGTGTGGTACACGCCTGTAATCCCAGCACTCAGCAGGCTGAGGCAAAAGGATCATGGAGAGCTCAAGGCCAGCCTAGGCTATACAGTGAGTTTAAGGTTAGCCTGAACTCAGTTAGCAAGACTGTCTCTGAATGAATGAATGAATAAATGAATGAATGAATGAAAGAAAAAAATCATTTTGTGATAATAAAAGTACTTACATTTTGCTTTTTCTTCATCTTTGCCTCTTGTAAGGAGGACAAGTCCAACTATTAAGTTATTGAAGTGTAGCCCTTTGGATGTTCCACCAAAAGAACAGTAAATCACCTAGAAGAAAATGATAAAACCAATCTTGTTGAAAAACTTGAGGTAATTATCACCTTGAACAAATCTTATCTCTCCATCTCCAGGCAAGGCTCTGGTAATTCAGTGAAATAACGTTAAGTTTCTCCTCCTTCTTCCTCCTGTGCACTTTTCACCCAATAGGTTCTCACAACTGAGTATTTATTCTTTCTCTCTGGAGTCTTTATCAAGGTCCAAGATGTCAAAGGTCCTCCTTCAATGGCTCCAATAATGTGGTAAAGATTTTATGCAATTACAGAACTTCCTTCAACCTTGGTAAAAGTTATATGCATTATTTTGATTGCAAAAAAAGACACTCACTAATTGTAGACAAATTGTAGTGTAATTAAGACACTACTAAATGTAGACAAATACAAAAGGACCACAAAGATACTTCTTTTATACCCTCAGAAATTAATAAATTACTGTAATTAGAAATGAAGAAAAACTATATATAAAAAAGGAATAAGGTCAGTAATCACTATAAATTCACTTACTCATTCAACAATTCTTTGTTGTATTGCTAGAATGGGTCATGCAGGATTAGTCAATAAAAATGTATGATTAAAACTGTCCTCCAAGTAAAGGAAAACAAGAAACTGGTGTGAGTCTGAGTGGGGAGTTTCCAGAGGAGAACATTGAGGCCCAGGAGGCAAATGGAAACAGGCAGCTGGTGTATATCGAACTACAGAGCGTCTGAACAGCAAAGGATGAAATAAACGGAAAAGATTGATTTTCTATGTAAGAATTCCACTAAGAGGAAGAAGAGTTTCCCAGGATGCTGGCAATAGTTCTCTGGAGACACTGGGAACAAGAAATATCTGGCCATAGGAGAAAATCAAAGACAAAGAGAAGTACTGGGAGAAGTCAAATAGGAGAAAAGCAACTTACCAATAAAGAAGCAAGGATAAGAAAGATACCTTACTTCTCTTCAAAAATCAAGAAGTAAAGCATGGAGTGGAATTGTTAAAGCATTGAAAGAAGAAACAAACATCAAGTTAGAATTCAGTATCCAGCAAAATTCAAATTGAGAGACAACTAAAGAATTTCTCAAATAAACAATGATGAAGGAAAAAAAATGTATGATTAAAGAATAATTTAAGAAATAAAACTAAGCTGGGCATGGCAGCATGCACTGGTTGTTCCCAGCACCCTGAGAGGCTGAGACAGAAGAATCACAAGTTCGAACCCACTGTGGGCAACTTAGCAAGGCCCTGTCCCAAAATAAAAAATAAAAACATCTAGTGGCTGTAACTCAGCATGAAGGCTTTTGGTTCAATCCCCAGTCCATTCCCTCCACCAAAAAAAGAAAAGAATAAAAATTAAATGGTCTCTATAAACTTTAAAAACATATACCCACATGTTATTTATATTTTAAAACACCATGACAGCTAATGCCAAAAATTTTGTATCTCTAATGGCACATATATCTCAACTAGCAAAAACTAACCAAGAGAAGTGGTTGCTGAAGAACATAAACAAAATTTGGGGGGGGGGGGGGTACCAGGGATCGAACTCGGGACCTTGCACTTGCAAGGCAGGTGGTGGCACCACTGGGCTAAATCCCTAGCCCTTGAACATAAAAATTTTTAAAAACAGCAGAACAAAGACATTTTTTACAGATCTTCCCCTAAAGACATTTTGTAGAATATTTTTAATCCATAGCACTGGAGGAAGGTAAGAACTCTTTATCTTTGGCATTAAGACAGGAAAACATAATTACCCCAGAACTTCAGCAATTCCCTACCATTGGGGAGAAGCAGGATCACCAAGAAATCCTCAGCGTTGAGATCCGGACATGATGCCTGCCTAAATCTCAGATAGAAAAATCAAAATATAGAATTTCTCTCACCAGAACTCCCTACTCCAACCACTGTGCTAGTAAGGATGAGAAATAAATAATAAGATAAGCTGGGGGAGAGGGAAGAGTGTGGACAAAGACTCTTAGGTGCAGAAACAGTAAGAAGCTCAAAAGTTAAAAGTTTAATGTAAAGCGGGCCCTACAAAAATTCTTTCTTTTCTTTCTTTTTTTGGTACCGGGGATTGAACTTGGGTCCTTGCGGTTGCGAGGCAGGCGGTGGAACCACTGAGCTAAATCCCCAGCCCCTCTACAAAAATTCTTTAGGGAATCAGCCCCCAAGACTGAAAAAAAAAAATTTTACCCCTAAACTGGAATTTGAAGCCTGTGGCATATGAAGGGTAACCATAGCAACAAGACCAAAATACAGTTTAAATACAGACTAGATTGACCCAAGTCCTCATACTGAAGACACAAAGACTGTAGCTCAGTTTCTAATGCCCTGTGCAAAACAACTGTCATCAAGCTACAAATGGGAAGGCACACAAAGATGCAAAGGGGAAAAACCACAATATACTATCAGAGACAAATGAAAAACACAGTAACAGATTTCAAACATGGCTCAGTAATAAGTTCAACAAAAAATGAGTAACACTCTGGGGCCGGGGATTTAGCTCAGTGGTTCGGCCACCTGCTGTGCAAGTGCAAGTACAAGGACCTGAGTTCAATCCCTGGTACCAAAAAAAAAAAAAATGAGTAACGGATTATCCAAAATGAAACACAAAGACAAAAAACTTGGGTGGGAGTGGGGATAAAACAGAAAATCGAAGCGCTATGAAAGATCAATGATCTAATACAGAGGCAACTGAAATCCTGGAGAGAGAGAATAGGGCAGAAGAAATATCTAAAATAGTAGCAGTTAAAAATTTTCCAAAACTAATAAAGGCACCAAATCACAAAGAGAAGAAGCTCAGAGAACAGGCACAGCAAATCATACTGAAACTACCCAAAACTAGTTAGACAAATCATACTCAAACTTCTGAAACCAGTGTGTAATCCTAGCTGCATGGGAGGCTGATGCAGGAGGATTTCAAGCTGAAGGCCAGCCTGGGGAGCTTAGTGAGGCCCCTTCTGAAAAAACAAAACTTTTAAAAAGGAAGGAGGGGGAGGGGGAGAGGGAGGGGGAGGGAGAGGGGGAGGGAAAGGGAGAGGGAACACTAAAATTAAAAGCTCACCCAAGATCCTACACCTGATAAAATTAACTTCCAAGAAGAAAAGTGCTTTTTCATTGAAAGAGAGGTTATTATCAATAAACCTGCACTACATAAAAAAGATAAAAGTATTCAGGCTGAAGGAAATAAGATGCTATAGTATACGATACCCAGGAAATACGGGTACTAGAATTGGGCTGAATAAAGCAAATATAAAATTATTTTTCTTTTTTTCTTTTTTTGGTACCGGGGATTGAACTTGGGTCCTTGTGCTTGCAAGGCAGGTGGCAGAACCACTGAGCTAAATCCCCAGCCCTATTTTTCATATTTTTAATTGCTTCTAAAAGATAACTGGCTGTCAAAGGCCATACTAGAATTGTACTGTGTTCAAAGAATATGTAAAACATATGACAATAAAATAAAGAACAGAAGAAAGGAACTTGAAGTATACTGTTGTATACTACACACTAATGTTGTTTAATACACCACTGAATGGTATAATATGCCAATTTATGTGTAGTACAGATTGAATATTCCTAATCTGAAAATCTACAATTTAAAATCTGAAACTTTTAAAGCACTGACATGATGCCACAAATGGAAAATTCTACATCCTAAATTCATGTAGTAATTGGGTGTAATCAAGATGGAGGTGCGTTGGAAATATTGTAAAGCCAGGCACGGTGGTACACACATGTAAGCCAAGCACTCTGTGATACTGAGGCAGGAGAATCACAAGTTTGAGTTGAGCCTGGGCAATGTGGCAACTAAGCAGGACTCTGTCTCAGAATAAAAAATAAAATATTTTCTTAAACACTTGGTAGACATAGATATCCAGACAGATTTGGAACACCATTATACTAATGCATAAAATTGATACTGATGGTAATGATCTCAGTAGCCTTCTTCCAGACAATGATGTCAACCTAGTAAATAATATTCAGAAGAGAGAGAAATCATTCTATAGTTTCAAAGGGAAATATTTATATAATAAAATACTAAGAATTTACCTCTTGCCTTGTAGTTGAGAGGTCAAAAAAGGAAGACATGTATAGGTCTCTGGAGTTTAGAACAAAGATGTGCCATGTTTCAACTGCTGCTCTATGGTCCTGGTCCTTTTCCTTCCCCATTCTTTGGACATAAGGCATGGGGGTTATTCCACTATTCCTTGGGAGAACCAGTAAGGGATGTACACTGTTTCATATACTAGCTTTTGGAGTGAGAAAAATTTGAGCTTGAAGCCAGGCTGTGGGGTTGTAAGCAAATCATTTAACTTTCTGAGTCTTAGTTTCATTGCATTACATGTATTGAAGATGTCACATCTTCTCATTGAAGGACCTAGGTGAAGAGCACTCCTTGTGTGGGAAATGCTATAACTGGGCAGAGGGCATGGCTGGAATGGTGGTGCATGCTTGTAGTCCCTGCATTCTGGGAAGCTGAGGCAAGAAGACTGCAAGTTTGAGCCCAGCCTGGGCAACACAGCAAGATCAAAAACAAAAAACAGCTGGGGATGTAGCTGAGTACAAAGGCTAAGGGACCTCAGACATACCAATCCCAAGTCACTTTTCTGATACATTTTCCTCAACTGTAAAACGGAGTTTGTTTATATAATTTCTAAACAAAGAGCCCTGTGAATATGCATGCTTTGCTGCTTATGTACATTTTAGAGCATGTAGAACAGCATAGTGTTTAACAAGAACAATGACTCTGGAAACAGATTATTTAGGTTCAAATATAAGTTCTGCTACTCACTAGCTTTGTGTCTTTGGGCAAGTTGGCTAATCTCTCTTCCTCAATTTCCTCATCTGCAAAATAGGGTTGTTGAGAAGATTACAAAATTAATATATAAGAAGCATTTAGAAGCTGGGTATGGTGGTACACTCCTGTAATCCTAGCACCAGGGAGGTTGAAGCAGGAGGACTGCCACGAGTTCAAGGCCAGCCTGAACTACACAGTGAGACCCTATCTCAAAGAAC